TGACCACGGATATACCAGCGCCGATGCTGAATCAAACCTCCTAGGAGTTGCATCCTAAAGTGATTGGGAATCGATGTCCCCCCTCCTGAGCCTGAGCCAATCCCTCTCCGTCTACGTCGCATCTTTTACTAAGACGTGAGACTGGGTATCTCGACCCCTGCCTCAAGGCCAGCTTTTCATCCTGATTGAAACGATCTCGGTGTCCAGAAAAGAGGCCTCTAGAGGCCAAAAAAACGTCGAAGAACCGGCCGTCGAGGGACCCCGTCCCTCCCTGAGATCCGACGTTGTGAAACAATCCGACATCGCGAGAAATCGCGACCGGAGCCATAGACCCTAAACCCCATCCTTCTGCGGCAGCTTTCGAGCCGGACCATAGCCCTAGGGCCCGAAACCAGGCGATAGCGCCCAGTGTGCAAAAACTGCGACGCCAGGATCTCAGGGCATTTCGCCGCCCCTGACTGCCCGATCTTGATGTCGTACGCGTCCATCGCCGCGATACCCGCCGTGTCGCCCACGGCCGCCCAGGCCGCGCCCACGCCAGGCTGGCTCGCGGCGAAGCTCAGCGCTACCGACGCGCTCGTGGCGTCCCCGTACACGGAGGGCTCGGTGGTGAAGACGCTGGAGCCGGGGACCGCGACGTCGAGGCCTGTGCAAGAGATACATACGACAAGAAGTCTTGCTGCAAGACATCTTGGGACACTTCCTTCGTCGATGTCTGAGGGCCCTAACGTGCCCCGGAGTTTCCGTGGGCCCCCAAGGCCATCAGGGATAGGATATCCCCGTGGGGCACGTGCTGGCAGGCCGATGTCTTGTTAGACTTTTATGAGGGAGCAAAGCGACGGCACGAGCACAGGCTCTCGCAGGCCCGATCGGGTCTCATGGGTCGGCGCTGGACCCCCAAACCCTCTCACTTCGTGAAAAAAATCACGGCGGACGGTGTGGGGCTATTCTCGACCTCTGGAAGCCCTCGCCAGGACCCGGGGCGGTCAAAAGACGACCCGGGATGAAAAACCGTCCCTGGGGAACGGGTCGAGACCTCTGGGGGTCCACGTGTTGAAGAAATGATGACGTCGTGGGCCTGGGAACACTCCCGCACATGGGCACCATCTACGGTGCCGCGGGTGCGGCGCTGGGGCGCCAGCAATAGAGACTCTTCGTGCAGCCTGCTTCCACGTGGTGTGGACGCGAACTCAGATCCACATCCCTGGCGGGGAATCTGGCGCCGCCCCACGCCCACGGCGGCGAATTTGACGCGCAGGCTTCCCATACCCCTGGCGCCGCCCCCCGCGCGCTCCGCGCGCCGCGGGAAGGGGCGCGGAGAGGGGGGAAGCGGGGGATCCAGCGCCGACCCACGAAACCCACGCTGACATCCGAAAGCGTGTGGTTGGGCAGTCGTCTCGTGTCCCCTGGGCCTACGAGGGTGCCGTCGCCCTGGCCCGCCGCGTCCTCGACGTAGACGAAGAGCTTGTAGGCCTCGCTGTTCGTGAGGTAGCATCCAGTGAGCGCCAGGGTCTCTTGCGATGTGCTGATCGGGAGCCCGGCGACGCGGCAGGAACTGTCGCCCATCGCGTACATCTGGATGTACTTGATCGTCGAGAGGGTCACGCTGTCCTCGTTCGAGGACAGCACCACCGCAGCCCACACGTAGCCCAAGGGTTCCGTGGCCTCAAACGTCACGGTCACAGCATCTGTGCTCGGCGTGCCCGACAGTGTGGGGCCGCTCTTGAACTCGTTCGAGGGAGGAGTTGTGAAGAACGCTGTTGAAAAATCGCCGTCGCCGTGCCCACCCATGTCGGACACGAGGACAAGGGCAGCATACGTTTTCGAGTGCTCCAGCGAACAGCCTAGGTCGATGGTCTGCGCCAAGGGGCTATCAATGTTGACAGCCTCAGCGCGGCACGAAGAGCCGCCCACCGAGTACAGTCCGCTCATGATCGCAGACGGCGAGCTTATCAAACTTGCCAAGCTACTGTCCGCGACGGAAATCCAAGCCTTGCCGTACGCCTGAGTCGCTGTGAACACCACACTCACGTTGTCCGTGGTCGCATTCTCCGCCGCTGGGAGCTCGAGGAAGGCATTGGAGACGCCGGGCGGCATCTCAACCTCCAGGAAATACAGCGCACCGTCGTTCTTGCCCAGCTCGTCCTCGACGTAGACGGCGGCCTGGTAGCTGGTGGAGTACTTCAGCAGGCACCCGCTGAGCGTGACCGACACGGTTTGGAGGGTCGTGACGTTCTGGTCGGCGAGGCGGCACCCGCTGCCGCCCATGGCGCCCGCCCCAGACTTCATAGACTCTGGCGTGGCGTACGCCATCTCAGTGGTCGGCACGACCTGCACCCAGAAGGTCCCGTTCACCTCCGCGCTCGGGCTCAGGTCGGTTGCCTTTGCCACGAAGAGGAGCTCGACGGTGTCCGTGGTCGGGGTTCTCGTCAGCTGAGGGTCCACCTGGAAGCCGAGCGAGGTCGGAGCCACGGGGACGTCGATCGGGGCGGACAGCATCCCGTCATTGTAGATAGTGCTGGCGCCGTCCACGTATACAAAGGCCTTGTACGTCACGCCCCGGTACATCGAGCAGCCAGTGAGCGAAACGGTTTCGGCTGTGTCGTTGATGGGCGCGGCCACAAGCCTGCACGTGCTGCCGCCCACCGAGTAGGTTCCAGCCTTCAGCGCTGCGGCGGTTACCCACATTGCGTTGGTCGGCGAAACGATCATGGCCCAGGCGCGCCCAGAGCCGGCGGAGGCCGTGAAGTTCAGCTCGACCCCAGCCGACGACACCGTGTCTGCCACGACGCCCAGGCTGACATCGAAAGAGTTGGTCAGCGGGGCAACGAAACTCACCGGTGGCGACAGGGTGCCGTCGTCACCATTATAGATGCCCTCCACGTAGACCAAGGCGCTGTAGGCGACTCCGCCTCTGAGCACGCAGCCCGACAGCGTCACGTTCGTCTCGTCGCTGGAGACATTCTCTCCCCAAAGGTTGCACATCGAACCCTCCAAGAATTTCACGCCCTGCACCGTCATGCAGGAGCCCTCCTCGGCCTCCACAATGGTGGCCCACAGCCTGCCCTCGGACTGCGTCGCAGTGAAACTCAGGGTCACTCCGTCAGTGGTGGTGCTCCCAACCAGCTGAGGGTACACTGAGAAAGTGTTGGTGGTGGAGTCCACTGGGACAAGGACGTCGATAGCATCTGACAGCTCGCCGTCGTTCTCCTGGCCTGCGTCCTCCACATACAGGAACGCCTTGTACCTGGGGGACAAGAAGGTACCGATACAGCTACACCTCGGACCTCTCGTGGGGCGCCTGCAGACCAGGATTTCGAGGCAAGCCCAGCCGTGGCGACGAGTAGTGGTCGGGCAGCGGTATCGGCATCTTTTCGTCCTGCGAATACCGGGTCTCTGCGCTGAGGCCGCAGGAGCTGAGGGTGAGAGTCTGCACGCCGGACACGAGCGACTGGCTGGCCACGGCGCACAGCGAATCAGTGCCCGCCTTGATGCTGGAGACGTTGACCGTGAAGGCATCGGACTCAACCACGACCATGGCCCACAGCAGGCCGGACGCATCGGTCGCCTCGAAGCGCAGGCTGACGTCGGACTCGCTCGGAGTGCCCAACACCACTGGGCCGTACGAGAACCGGTTGGAGTACGGCACGTACACCTCCAGGGGCTCGGAGAGCGACCCGTCCTCAAGGTCCTCGCCGCCCTCCACGTAGACGAAGGCCGCGTAGGTTGTGCCACCATACAAGATGCATTCCGTCAGCTCCACCACTGTGTCTAAAGTGTTCACGAAACCAGACCAGCGGCAAGGGCCATTGCCCACAGCGTTTGTGAACTCTCTGATGTGGCTGATCGCTATCAGATCCTTGACGGAATCGGCAACAACCATCAGATAAGCCTTGCCCGAAGATGCGGTTGCCCGGAAACTTACAGTCAGATTATCCTTGTTCACGCCGTCATGGACCCGCGGGGCTGTGGCGAAGGCATTGGACGGCGCTGGCGCCACGAACTCCATAGGGCCGAACAAATAACCATCGTCATCTACCGCGTCTGCTCCCTCGACGTAGACGAACGCTGCGTACGACTGCCCGGCAATAAAGTCGCAGCCATAGAGCATCAGCGACTCCAGCTCACCCCCGGTGACAGCCGCGGCACTGACACGACAAGTCTCACGGCCTACTGCACCCTCGGCCGCCTTCACCTTCTGGGCGGAGCTCGTCAGAGGCGGCGTCCCAGCGAAACCGTCGTCCTCTACGACAACTATCCAAGCAATCCCATCCGTCTGCACCGCCATTTCGAACGTGACGGCGGCGGTGGTCAGGGGCCCCGCCATCGTTGGCTCACTGACGAAACTGTTGGAGATAGGGAACACAAGCACACCGTTGCGGTAAAGCTGGTACCCCGACACGGTTCCACCGCAGTCGTCTGCAGTCTCAGGCCACGCAAGCGAGACAGACCAAGGTGTACTGCTGAGCCTGTAAGGCGCCGACACCAAGCTGCGCGGAGCGCACTTCATATCTGCAGCCAAAACGGAGCTCTGACTCCCGACTCCCACCTCGTTCACGGCGGCGACGTAGAACCTGTATGTTCTGCCATTGGTCAACGAATAAATTGTCACATTGGTGGACGCGCCGGAGTAGGCCAACGTGTATATGCCAGACGAATCGCCGGCGTCGCGGTAGAGCAGATACGACACGATCGACACGCCGCCCGTGTCCGAGGGAGGGCTCCACGTGAGCGTCATGGACGTCGGCGTGCGGACGTCGACCATGTCGATGGGCCTGGGCGGCACTGCTGTCAGGAGGCCCAGGCCCAACGGCGAGCCAGGCTCCGCTCCGCAGACGCGGGAGGCAACTGGGCTGGCAGGCCCCCAGCCGATGATGTTGCGGGCCTGCACGGTGATCAGGTGCCTGTCCCCGGTGTTGCACATCAGCTGCACGGACGTGACCGACGCTATGCTCGTGCCGTCGTAGCGGGCGCAGGTGCCATCGAAGACCACCTTGTACCTCGGGGGGTGCTTCAGGGGGGAGGAGAAGGCGGACGCGGAGGAGGCAAAGAAGGATGCAGACGAGGAAGAGGAGCGAGACTCAAATATCCGCTGTGCTCCCTTTGGCGACACGAGCAACCGAGAGGTGAGCAGGCCGTGTGATTCATTGCGTTTAGTGTCTCATGCGCGTCGGCGTCAGGAGGGCCCAATGAGCCCCCCTGGGATTAGGCTGAAGGAAACCCCAGGACGGCCCGAGAGAATCCCACGAAGTTCCCAAGACGGCCAAGAAGGCAACAACAGAGCTCCAGGACTCCATTCCTGGGGGCCTGCGCAAGCCCAAGCAACAGGGGCGCTCCGGAACCCTTGGGGTGGGAGGGAGTCCCGGGGGAGACCTAGGGCTTCGGCCTCTCTGTCCAATTTTGGCATCTCGGGCCAACTTGGGGCCTCCTGGGGTCGACTGGGGCCCGACTGGAACCGATCCCCAGGCAGCCAGGACCCACTTCGATTGCGCCATCTTGGCTCCGACTTGGGCAGGCCTGCGGCCAGTGGGACCCGACTGGGCCAGCTTTGGCCCCCCTCCCTGATGCGCCCGCGCTGCCCTGCCGCCACAACTGCTGACGCGCTACGAACCGCCTCTTGCCCCCGTGCCACCTGTCTTCGTGTCCCTCCTGCTGCCCCAGCCGCAAAGCCTCTGAAACATGCCAGGCGCCAGCACGGAATCACACTCGAGCCGCGTCCCAGCGCGGCAAAGCAACTGGACATGCTCAGCCCTTCGGCGGCATCTTGCTGCCGTGCCCGCGTCTCCTGGCTGCTCCTGCTTCCATAGCCGCGGGGCCTCTGCAACATCCCAGGCGACAGGAGAAGGAAAAGGAGGAGGAGGAGGACGACGACGACGACCACGACCCTCTGGAGCGCTGAAAGGGGCGCCCGAAGACCGCGGAGCCCCCGTTGTCCGAGAGGTCCTCCTCCCTCTTCCCGCCGCTTGCTCCATCTCCCCTCCTCCCTCCTTCTCCTCCTCCTCCTCCTCCTCCTCCTCCTCCTCCTCCTCTTCCTTCTCCTCCTCCTCCTCCTCCTCCTCCTCCTCCTCCTCCTCCTCCTCCTCCTCCTCCTCCTCCCCCATTCCTTTTCCTTCTAGATAACTCCTCCGTGTCGCACACCGGGGCGGGTCGAAAGGGCGGGCCCGGCGTTTCGCCTGAGACTTCCTGCCCACTGATCACTGAAGCATAGCTGCTGACAACAGCTTCACTGATGGAGGGCCGGTGGTTTTCAAAATGTGGATCTCGCCTGGGCGCTGCGCACACTCGTGAGGGGTGTGCCAGAATGGGCGTGGGGACCCATGCGGACCATGCCAGGGCCGTCAGCATGGGGCCACGATCCTCGTGAGGGGTGCCGAAATTGATGGCCTGGACGCATGTAAACTGTGCCACTGGGGTCTTCGGTGGAGCTCCCTATGAAGCCACGAAGCGTGTGAGAGATGTGCCGAAATTAGTGGCGGGGACGAGTGTAAACTGTACCACTGAGGCCTTCGGGGGACCTCCCTATTGGGCCACCAACCGCGTGAGGGGTGCGCCGAAATGGGTGGCGTGGACGCATGTGAACTGTACCACTGGCGCCTTTTGTGGAGCTCCCTATGGGGCCACGAAACGTGCGACGGGTGTGCCGAAATAGGTGGCGTGGACGCATGTAAACGATGCCTCTGGGGCCTTCGGTGGAGCTCCCTGTGGGGCCACGAACCTTCTGAGGGGTGTGCCGTAATTTGTGGCGGGGACGCATGTAAACTGTGCCACTAGGGCCTTTGGTGGAGCTCCCTGTGAGGCCACGAATCGTTAGAGGGATGTGCCGACATGTGTGGCGGGGACGGGTGTAAACTGCGACACTGGGGCCTTCGGTGGAGCTTCATATGGAGCCACGAACCGTCTGAGGGGTGTGCCGAAATAGGTGGCGGGGACGCGTGTAAACTGTGCCACTGGGGCCTTCGGTGGAACTCCTCATGGAGCCACGAACCGTGAGAGGGGCGTGCCGAAATTAGTGGCGGGGACGACTGTAAACTGCACCACTGGGGCCTTCGGTGGAACTCCCGATGGGGCCACAAACCTTGTGAGGGATGTGCCGGAATGAATTGCACGGACGCGTGGGATGATGATGGTGATGGTGATGGTGATGGTGATGATGATGATGATGATGATGATGATGATGATGATGATGATGATGCTGATGATGCTGATGATGATGATGATGATGGTGATGATCACGAATCCTCTGGAAGGCAACTCCGGCCAATCACAGCGGCACCGACAAGCGCTCGCGTCGAATAATATTATGCGCGTAGTGTGTGATGGTGGCCCTCGGGTGGCCCTTGGTATAAGCCTCTTTGGCTGTATGGAACACCTTGTGTGCAGCAGCCAGGCGGTAAAGCCCTGCGCGAGCGGTGATACCAAGCTTGCTATCTGTGCAATGCGGGGCGGCCCGGGCCAGCATTCGAAGAGAGCCCAGAATGGCGGGCAAGCAAACAGATGGTGCTGATCAGCGTTGGGGCGCCCACAACAGAAGCAAGGATGCCGGACAGCTTCATGCATGCGCTTTGTGGTGAACCATCCGTGCATCCAAGTGCGGAGCACTAGAGTGCGAACAGGGCGCGGCAAAGCACGGAGAGAAGCTAAGGCAACCTCAGGGGCATCAGAAAACAAAGAGTGTGTGCCCACGAAGCTACTCCACCTAGCCATCAACAACGCGTGCCAATCCATATCCCACCATTATTTGAGCGTGGCGTCCTGGACGGCACGCTGGATGCGGGAAGCTGGCATCCGACCGCGGGCCCAAGCGGCGTGCAGAGACGTCAAATGACCACGGTCACACCGGTGCCACTCAGGATGAAACCCTGCAGCGCGCTCAAAACTTAGGGCGAGGAGCGGCGCCTGCCACCACGGCTGGGTGAGCGAGCCCTGTGCGATCACCGAGGGGCCTCAGTAGCAGGGCCTCCTCGATTAGGGCACGGGTCTGCTGGAGCACCGTGGCCCAGACCGTGCACGTGGTCAACGCGAAAAAGTCATGATAGACATGGCGTAGGTCTCGATGGGCGTAACGCGTGAGAAGCCTAAGGCATCGATGTGGAACCCGGCCCACTGTGGGAGCGCCTCCCTGGGCAACCGGAACACCATGGCAAGGGCAGCAGACTGCCCAGTGATCAACGTGGCGGGCGGCGCTACGAACTGGGAGGCGTAGCTAAGGACACGGAGGACTCTGATGTTGTATTCACTGATGTCCTGCGTCATAGATTCGTGGGAAAATCCGACACGACATAATCGAAAGAAGAATTTGCTCGACGGCCAGAACAGCACCACGAGCTCAGGGGTGTATCCCGAGCGCGTGGGCGAAGACACACACTTCTTTAGCTTCTCGGCGAGGCCCGTCGCACGACGCACCAGGTCGTAAAGGTGCTGGATTGGAGCGAGCGCCGTGCGATCCCAGAAGGAAATGCCGACGTCGTCCGCGCAGAGCCTGAGGATCCCCTTGCGCGCGACCGCGGCGCGAAGCCCTAGCACGAGCTGAGCTGGTCGCCCTGAAGTACGCCGGTGCCGTGGAATGGTGATGGTGATGATGATGATGAGGAGGACGAGGAGGAGGAGGAGGAGGAGGAGGAGGAGGAGCGAACGTCGCCTGAGGGGGCGAGTCCGTCGGGAGGCCGAACTACGGCGCGCCAGCTCCGCCCGAAAGGTCGGCGGGCAGCTTCAGAGCGTGGCGGGCGGCAGCAACGGCGGTCGTTCGCTTCTGGTACGTCATCGGCAGGACATCGTCCTTGGTGAGGTGGTAGATACGCGTCGCGACGCTGAGCCTCGCGACGCTGTTGGGGATGCCGTTCTCGCCGTCGAAGGGGTCGGTGAGCTTGGGAAGTCCAAGCCTCGTCAGTAAATGAGCGCTCAGTTGGCCTCGGGGTTTGGCCAGCTGGTGCCACATGCGGCCGCAGATGACGTAGTGTTGGATGGCGTCTTGGCCGTCGGGGAGGGGGCACCCGAAGTGGCAGGAGCGTTTGATTGGGATCGCGTGCGTCCTATGCGAGGTTGTCCATGTTCCTGCAAGCACTTTCAGCGCGCCCCACAACCTGGCAGGGGGAAGGGTCGCCGAGTGGGAGCGCAGGCGCATCCATCGATCAGGTAGATCATCAGGAACTTTTTCAGCTTGTAGAAGGTCTGGTTGTGCGTCGGGGCCTTCAGGAAGGACTTCGTCTTCAATGTCGTCATCGTCGCGGTGGAGGTCCTCGGGGTTGGCGTCGGGTTCGATGAGGGGAAGGATGTGGCTGATCCAGCGGCGACGGGCACGATGTTGGGCGGCTTCATAAGTGAGTAATGATGAACGAGGGGATCGACTGCGAGGAGAATCGCGGGGTTGGTCATTGTGGGCAAGGCGGCGTTCGAGTAGAAGTCGCCCCATGCCGCTGTTGTCCCGCGACTGCATGCACATGTTGACTGCGATGCGGTGGCGCTGGATGTTCGCGGCGTACAGCGGCAGGAACAGGTCGGCGCCGAGGAGCTCGCACAGGTAGGTGGTGCACCACTGCATCCAATCGCCACGGTTGTCGATGCTGGGGTCGTTTAGCAGGATGTTGGGGAGCCAGTGGGCGGCCCAAGCGCGGGCGCGGTTCATAAGTCGGTCTTGCGCTCGTTCAGCTTCACGTCGGGGTCCGTCGGATGGTTCGCGCGTGCGTTCTCGGTTTGAGTCAAGGTGTGGAAACCAAGCGATCAGTCGGCGCTTGATCGTGTTGGGCATGGTGTCTACGTACAGCTGTTCGTTGAGGGACTTCAGGTGGGCTGACTGCGGGGTGGTCTTGGCGGGCTGGCGGTGTCGGCGCAGAGCGGGATGAGGGGCAGGCTGAAGGACTTGGCGATGGAGAAGGGCTTGTAGTCCTGCTCTGGCAGCACGCTTGTGACAGGCGGTCATGGCGGCACGTGCACGCGGACGTGGTCCAGCTGTGCGAGTGAGGCGCTTGAGGTGAGAGCCTTTGACGTCCGTAAAGAAAGTGGC